CTTCGTTACACCGGCCTGCTCTTCCCGCGATACAATTCGTCAGTTTCGGTTTTTCGGCTGCGCGCATATCTCAGTTCCCACTGCAGGAATGTTAAACAATGTTCTTTTTTACTATTTTAAAGCCTTCAATCAACTATTTTCTTTGCCGGAATCGGATTTCTGGGAATGTTTGATCTTTTCCCGCTCAACCGCTTGTTTCAATTTATATCTTATCACAGTTCAGGTAAGCGGCACGTTTATTGTTATCTAGCACGATCAAATCGGGTTTCGCATTGGTTCTTTTCACTTACTGTTGTTGCCCATCTTCAAGAGGTCGGCTGGTAGAGAGCTTAAGCCGGTAATCCGGCTCGATCGGCCGCTGCAGAGTTGCTTGGCACTTGCCTTCTTCGGGGGAGGAGATCAAAGCCTGAATCGGCTCCTTCAGGAGCCGAATCACGCCAACCTCACACTCCCTCTTAGGCACTGCTGCCTGCTTGTCCCCCCCCCTCGCTGGGGAGCGATGCGTTGGGCTAAAAACTGCCCAAGCTGTCAAAAGCGGCCGTCGCTCACTTCGCACGATCGCGAAAGTGCGTCAGTCCTCCATCTTAGCTCGACCGGAAGCCTCTCTTGCCTCCTCCACCTCACCCTCGTGCTCTCTCTCTCTCTCACACACACACACATACACACAGATAGAGAGAGCCTCATGGCTGCTTCCTGCCAGAGAGACACAAAGCCAAGTCTGCCTGCCCCTCCCTCCCTCTCTCTCAGACACCCACACTCACACACCCAGCTTCTGCTCAGGGGCTATTCCTCCCCTTTTTGGGGGGAAGGAAGGAGGAAGAAAGAGAGAGGGAAAAAACAAAATTGGAATCCCAGCTTTAAGACCAACAACGTTTTATCCCAGGTATAAGCTTTTGTGTGTGCAAGCACAGTTCTTTAGAGAGAGGGAGGGAGGGAGGATTCTTCTGACAAGCACAATGTACACTGAGGAAATTATTTTGGTTTATTCTGAAAAGTTTTTTTAAATGATTGGATTTCTCTCTTCCTATCTGGATTTATTTTCTTTCAAAAAGACCCTGATTAGGAATTAGAACACTTGGATTGGTCCTTATATCTTTGCGAGTGGAGTCATTTCAGATGCCAAATGATAATAGCACTCATTGGTAATGAGACAGGAAAACTAGCTCTCAGTTCAGTCCAGGAGGATGCATTGTCTTGAGCTTCATGATTAGTTGAAATTCAGCAGTCTCTCTTTCTCATCTCCCTTTGAAATTCCTTTGTAAAGAGCACTGCTACTCTTAGGTCAGCAACTGAAATTTGTGGTTTCTAATGTCAGACTTATATCCATTTCTTCTCTGCATCCTCCTGGACTGAATCCTCCTAGATGGAATTGAGATCCGGGTTTCCCGTCTCACGACCAATGCTGATATCTCCACGCTCACTTCCCCTCTGCATATCACACCTAATCCAATCATGCCTGATATTGCAATTCGGCATCTGAAATAATTTTTATAAAGTTTATATCTCTAGTAACTCATGTTACATTTTATAGCATGCATGGCCTGGCCCAACAAAATGACATTTATGCCAGATGTGGCCCTCAAAACAAATGATTTCAACATCTCTGCCCTGGAGGGTGAACAAACATGGTACGAAGACCAAGGCTTCCTCCTAGTCCTCGTATTCAGAAGTTCTCTGCTTCTATATATGGAAGTTACCTTTCCTCGCCATGGCTAGTAGCCATTGATGGACCCAGGCGCCATAAATCTGTCTAACCTCGATTTAAAGTTCAGAACCCACCAGCATATATTTAAACTTAGGTTTTACTGTTCTGCATGCATCAACTTTTTCAGCCTGCAGGCACTTTCAGAAATCTCATACAGGGCAGTGGACACAACCACAAAATGGCTACCGCAGGAGGTGGAGTCAGCCACAAAATCCCCGGCCCTAAAGATGTTTGCTTAGCCTCGACCAGAGCCAGAGCCTTCTCAGCTTTGGCACCAGCCTGGTGGAGCACTCTCCCTACTGAAATCTGGGCCCTGCAGGACTTAATGCAGTTCTGCAGGGCCTGTAAAATGGAGATGTTCTGCCAGGCCTATGGTTGAGGCAGCGGAGATCTATTTATATTGGCCTCCGCTGTATTGTTGTCAATCTGTGATGTCTTTTGTCTGCCTGTTCCCCCCAGTATCAGTTGCCAGCCACCTGCAAACATATGGGGAACCTACATGGGAGCTGATGGAGATGGCTTGGTTGAATGGTGCCATCATCCATTACTGTTCATATATCAATTGATCTTATGGCTATGGGGTTTAATAACTGTTATATTTTAAATATTGAAGTATGTTATTTATTACTCTATTGTAACCTGCCCTAAGCCTGCTTGCAGGGTAGAGTGGGCTAGAAGTCAAATCAATCAGACAATAAATATGGCTGTCATCCAAATGTTAGGGAGTGGGGTTATGGATAACTCTAATGGTAACTCTTCAATATTTCAAGCAGAAGCTCAGCTTAATAGGATGCCTTTTAAAATGAAAATGTTGTTTAAAAACTTTTCTTTGCACACATACAGTTTACCTTCAGTCACATAGTGAAGAATCTCATGCTGTGGTAGCACCTGCATACCAAAACAATGAGTTTTGAAAAAAATCTGCACAGCCAATCTGATCTCTAATAGCTAATCAGAAGCCTTCCTGGGCAAAAGCCTCACCTGTCCTTGCTCACTTCCTAAAAACACCCAGTGGGTGACATGAAATATATTGGAGGGCACCACGTTGGGGTCCCCTGCCTTACACTTATTTACATTGCACTTCATTTGCCACATCATCACCTGCTCACCCACTTTAGGGACATCCTCCTAGAGCAATCCACCTTGGTTTTCACTATCTTGAATAATTTACAAACTTGGACACTACTCTGTTCACACCCAAACCCAATCAGTTTTAAAGAAATTAAATAGCACCGGGCCCAATACCAATGCTAATAGGATCCCACTGCTCACTTTCCTCCATTTACTGTCCATTTACTCCTGCACTCCATTTCTTTCCATTTAACCAACCTTTAATCCATAAGTGGATCCCATAACCCATAAGAGAATGGATCCACTTATGGGTTAAAAATTGGCTCTTATCCCATAAGCTTACTCATGAATTCTTGGTAAGGTACCTTCTCAAAACCCTTTTGGAATACCAAGTATGTAATTTCTACTGGATCACCCTTATCTGCATGCCTGTTAACATGCCAAAAGAACTCGGAAGTCCAAAACCATTTAAAATTTTGTGACTAATCAGAGCAGAATATTTTGCTTTCTGCTCATATAAATATTGAAAAGTATCTTTCAAAGTACAGTTCACCACAATAATACAATACTAAAGAACTGCCCCTCATGCATGTTTAATGCAAAAGAGCATTGCACAGTAAATTATCCACTCTTTCAAACTAAAAATGGTACCTGGGAGAGTTCATCATCTTCATCTTCAAAAGTGAAGGCTTTACACTTGGAACTGTGCCAGTATTCTTCCTCATCAACCTTCATTCTATTCATCTGAAAAGAAAAAAGATTTTAAAAATCTATAAATAAGAACATAAGAAGAGTCCTGCTGGATCAGACCAATGGTCCATCTAGTCCAGCATCTTGTCTCACACAGTGGGCAACCAGTTCCTCTGGAGAGCCAACAACAGGACATTTGAGTCCAAGACCTTCCCCATATGTTGCCTCTTGGATTCTGAGGTTTAGTGCCTCCAAATGTGGGGGCTTCCTTCAGGCACCATGGCTAGTAGCCATTGACAGACCTATCCTCTATGAATCTACCCAATTACTTTTTAAAGCTGTTTATGTGACCATCACTATATCCTCTGGCTGTGAAGTCTACATTTTAATCACTCTTTCTGTAAAGAAGTACCTCTCTCCTTTGGTCAAGTCATAAAAACCCTGGATCATATCATTCCAAAAAATCACTTACCAAAAAGCAATACACAAAAGAAAAAGAAGATTTAATGAAAACTATATGTGTGTATGGTGGGAGAAAAAACTATGACTGAGAATAAACTGTACCACTTTATCACAAAGTGATAATATGAATGTATATTTAGAACTTCCCACCAACTTTAATAGACCTTACAGTGAGTGGTGGGCATGTTTTAAGGGGGGGAGGGGAGAGAGATTTGTGGTTTACTATTTTGATTGTGGTTTAGGTATTATTGTAAGTCACATTGAATCACGAGGAAAGGCTAGATATAAATGTTTTTAATAAATACATGAAATTAAGATTTGCTGATCCATTTTGTGCTGTTACTTTCAGGAAACAGAATGGATTAATCAATAGTACAGATGTTGCCCAACATAAAATATAACCTCAGAAGCATTATAGAATTTGGGGGAGGGGATTGCTGCTATACTCTGCTATTCTAGAATCAAGTATTTGCATACCATTAAAATTTTAAAATGATGGGTAGGCATACTGGCCTCAAGGTGTAACTTGTTGCTACCAAGGTTCCATTTTTATCAATATTTCCTCCCTTCCTCCTTCTTGATATGGGACCAACTTCTCCTTTCCTGTATTTGTTTGGGCCAGTAAACATGTGTCTTGTGTTTGGTTAATAATGGCCTGAAATCTGTTTGCTGAGCAATACTAAACAAAGAAGAAAGGCAGTACTGTGACCTGGACCACACACCATCTTCAGTGATTAAAGTAGCAGTCTCAAAGAGAAGCCAAATCTTCCCCAGTAGCTGGCTATTATTTGAACACCCTAACAATTAATCAACATGCCTCTAACACAAACAGAATCCTGCTTTATTAGCACTGCACCAGGTAAAGAGCTATATCTATATTTGCTCTCTGGAGAGATCATTACATTATTGGGACAATGAACATTAAGATTATTTGGAATTGCCCAGGAGAGCCACAGATCAACCAAGGCTGATCCCAAATAGCCTGGAGATCTCCTTTATTTCTCTGTTTGTAGATATTCCTTGAACTGCCCGCTTATTCCCTCTGGCCAGTCAGTTGGCATCCCTGACTTCCCACTATGCCCTCTCACTTCTTCCTAAGCTTGGAAAGAAAAAATACCTGTTCTTTACCTGCCTCCTTGCTCTACAAATGAAGTCAGAGCTGGAATCCAGTGGATTCTGTTCCCTGTGCTTGGTCAAGGGCCATGCATTTGTATATTGTGCATTCTAACTTATGTGAGTTTTTGGCTGTCTTTTTTTTTAATCGTTTATTTATGGATTTTCCATACATTAAAAAAATGTGAGTTTTTGGCTGTCTTGTAAGGTGCAAAACATTTGCTCTGGAGACACAGCATGAAATGTTCCTGCTTCTCTTCCTGTTAGGGTTATCTGCTGTCCAGACATTTGGGTCCCTGCCTTAGGATTCAGACTGTTACTCAGACCAATGTGGATGAATAGCTATAGTTTCATTCATATGGCTTCAATAAGCTTCATTTCTGTTTTTACTCTATTATTTCCAAGCACTTCACCCTCTTGTCAGAGCCCATACAGCCATACCGTAGGTCACTGGTCAGACTGAGTGTGTTTCTTTAAGGCAGGAGCTCCTCTGGCATAGGAATGAAAAAGCAATAGGAGTCTTTATACCTCAAAGGCTATTTAGCATACATCTGGGTTTAGAATGAAAAACCATGATCACACCAACACATGCCCAGTCTTTCATTCATATACACGCTACATTTAACTGCTCTGCTGATCAGTTTGCCCAAATATAAGGTGACAACACCTTAAACCTAAGATCAAAGCAGATCTATAAGTGAATTTTTTACTCCCCACATCTGGACTATTGTGCTTCCCCCAACATTTTCACAGCAATGCCCCCCACAATAGTCAACCTACAGAGCTAAATGGACTTGATTTTGGACAAACTCAAAAGCAAGAAAAGTCTGAGGCTATCAAGCACTCTGGTACATTAAATTGCAAGTATTTTCCTTAGGATCACACTGCTACAGGCCAAAATCTATGTTCCCCAGTCAAAGAGCACATGAATGAGTGCAGGTAGCACTAGATAACCAAGTCCCCTAGGAGAGAAACACATACCTTTAAAAGAGCAGATCGTCAGGAACGGGATCTACCAATGGCCCACGTATCGGATCATACAGTCTCCCAATCCATATTCACCGCTGTACTCACCTTTCTCTGAGCACAGCAACATTGCTGGGTACCCAGCTTCTCAACAACGACCGTAGGCAGGGGAAAGAACCGCTGCTTTCGAAAAGCATCCCGGGATTAGTAGTTTTCAAGAACATCATTCTCCATTCTCATTAAAGGTATGCGAGTATTTAAGAAACTACAAATCCCGCCACAAAGAAACTTCCTGGTCCCGGCCATGACACCTTAAATCGGAAGACAGGTTCTAACAAGCATCTAAGGAAAGCAAGTTCGTCCCTTTTCCTGTGGCTATTTCGCCTCTCTAACGAAAGGTTGGCAGGGAAGTCAAATTTCTTCAGTTTGAACAAGAGAGGAGTTGCCGAACCGAATGTATTTGGGACCATAGAGACAGCTAAAGACTAGAGTAGCTCAGACTAAACTTCAGGTTTAAAAGAATTAAAAACCGTCATGACACTCAATTACCCGGTTTTAGGCCTAGTGTCTCTATGATTACATTCCTTTTTGTACCGGAAGTGCTGTGAGTATTAGCATTCCTCCCTCCTCTCTCTCTCACGCCTTATAGTTCCGACCAGCCGGGAGAATTTCAAGTGCGGACTCAGTGAAGGTCGGATTATCTTGCTGTCATGAAGGGAAAAAACGGAAGGAACCTTTGCCGGTGACGGAAGTCGGGAGGCGGCGCGGTTGCCGGCGCTTCTAGCAGCTTCTAGACGGCGCGCGCGGGCGGGTAAGACGGTGCTCGGCATCGACCAGGCAGAGGAGGTGCGGCGGCGGCGGCAGCAGCGTGCTTTCCAGCGGCGCCGATGGCCAAGTGGGGAGAGGGGGATCCGCGCTGGATTGTGGAGCAGCGCGCGGATGCCACCAACGTCAATAACTGGCACTGGTGAGTGGGGGGGGGGGGGGGGGGGGGGGGAACCCCCCACTCACCCCGGCTAGTAGCTGCTGAGGGGAACAGGTGCGCGGTTGCCCGCACTTTTAGAGCCATGGTCCATGGTACCAGTCAGGAAGGGGAAGGTGCGCTTTGTGCGAGCTCTGTCGGCTTCTCGTCGGAGTACTTACCCTTCTCCCCCCCCCCCCCCCCCCCCCCCCCCCACCCCCCCCGTCTCAGCACCCCAAGCCCCGCGATCTCTGCTTGTCTTCTTGCATGCCTGTCATTTCCACCGCAGAGGTGCCTCTGGGAAACTACTTTGTGCCTTGTTCAGTGTGCCTGGGGGTGAGGGAAGGTCCTGTACCCCGACGTCTCCTTGTGCTTTCTCTGCATTGAGACCTTTTTTCCTCTCCCCATTGTGAGTTCATTCGGGCTTAGTCCGGAACAAGTGTGTAATGCGGGAGCGTTGCCAACTGACGGGCGGGGAGGCAGGGGAACTGAGAAAGAAACGCTACTTGGCTTGTACCGGCACTTGATCAGCGGCTTGGTCTGCCGAAATCAGCGCGTGGAACTTCTTAAAGGTAAAGGTAAAGGTTCCCTTGCTCGAAAGCCAGTCGAATCCGACTCTAGGGTTGCGGTACTCATCTCCGTTTCAAAGCCGAAGAGCCAGCGCTGTCCGAAGACGTTTCCGTGGTCATGTGGCCGGCATGACTAAACACCAAGACGCACGGAACGCTGTTACCTTCCCACCGAAGTGGTCCCTATTTATCTACTTGCAATTTCTACTTGCAAGTGGAACTTCTTACAATAGAACAAAACATTAACCACCAATTAATGTCCATAGATCAAGTTGCCAAGTGAAACAAAAGTCTGCTTTGGTAATGTGCATTGGAGGGCAGATCTGAGTTTGCTGTTTTGTCTTTCACTGGGAGCTTTTGAGAGCTTTGAGGGTTTAAGGCCTCTACTTAAGTCATATTCTGGCACACACACCCCTCCCCTCTTCATGAAATGAAGAGTCTTTTTGCTTTTAATCTCAGGAGCATGTTATGTTTTGGTTACACACACACTGTGCTCCCCTCCCAATCTAGTTATATAGAGTTGACTTTCAAAGCTGTGAGATGATGCTTACTGTATAACTGTCAAGTCGTGAGCTCTATGTAGTAAAAAAATTGAGACAGTACTTGAACTTGGAGCTATCCAGTGACATTGACTGGCAGAAGTTAAATAGCTTTTAACTGAAAAAATGTGACGCAGACTGTCTCAAGCAAGCCAGTAATTTATACTGCAGTAGGCAAGTGAACGATGGGACAACAACTATTGCTATTTATTGCTAAATGTAACATATATTCAGAGCTAGTATAGTTCTTATTGCTATATATTGAAATGAAATAGGAGGTGGGTGGTTGTCTTTATGATCTGCTTATAAATCTTCTTGGGATATACTGCTGGAGGCATAATGTAGATCCAGATGGTTCTTGGTCTGATCTAGGAAGGCAAGTCTTCTATTCCATGGAAGCTCACTTGAAAACATTACAGGTAGGATTCCTGTCCCAGCCATCTGGCCTTTTTGCTGTGTATATAGAGGCCAGCTTACTTATTTATTTAGGTAATTTTAAATTTGCTTTTCTCCTGCTACAGACTCAAGGCAGTGCTTTTTGGCATATCATTGCAAATTCTTTTTTGCAACAGTTGCCCACAGGTAATGAAAAGTGAATCCTTTTCATGGTGGCAGGGACACAAGGTGGTTGTATAAAGAGTCCCTTCTTGCAGTCATAAAAAACTCAAGCACATTAACTCCTTGTGGACTAATGGATTTATTGTGCCATGATTTTTTGTTGTTTGACAGAACAGAACCTGCTCCTTTCAGGATTAATGCCTGGACAGGTCCACCCACCCACCAAGCCATGCCTTCCAGTTCCATCATGTACCTGAAATCTTGGTACAGCCAGTTTTGTTCCTTGTACAGTCAAGCTACCATTGTTCTACATCACTGCTCAGCTGGAAGTGATCACCATACTTCTTCTTTGATCAGAGTGTAGCAGCTATGCTTTCAGGTGCAGGAGGTGGGGGATAGAATAGGTATATTCCTTGCATTGGGAAATAGCCAAACAATTATAGCACAGTACGGAGTTAGTTTGTTTTGAGTCTTGTTTGAGATCATGGTTTATTCAGGTCTCCTGTGCAGAGCATGTGCTTCTCACAAATCCCTAAGAGCTTTCCATTGGCCCACTCTCCCCCTCCCCTCAGAAAAAACTTAAACTTCAAAAAAAGGAGACATAGTCAGTGCTAAGTGAGCCAACGGTGCATTCTGCAGTAGTGAGCACACCATCTGTGTCCAACACTTGATGCAGCAACACTCAGGCTAAGAAATGTGCAGCTTTATTGCAGCCTTAACAAACACTTAGAGGCTTTGCATTCAGAGTTCACAGAAACCATATTTCAGGCTTGGGTTTCAGAACAGAACTCTTGGCAATGGTGAATTCCTGTTCTGAGGACACTAGTAACTTCACAGACTGTTATGAAGTATAGCATCTTCCTTTCTCTTCATCCAAGCCCTGTAACTCAGGCTTTGTATGATCTCCTTGTGAGTTTTGAATATGACTTCAGTCAACATATACTGTACAAATAGGTGTCGCATCTTTTAAGTGGATGACGGCAGTAACAAATTGGATAAAAAAGCAAAGTGGTCTGGGTATTATGTGGGAAAGGCTGGATACATTTCCTGTCTCAGCTATGGTCGGGAACTTTCACAAGCCATTCTCTCAAAGCTCCTAAAATGGGGAAAATGTACTTTATTGGGGAGACTTTCTGTAAGCACAGAATCATATGCAGCCAATGTGTCACAAGAGATGCAGGGAGAAAGACTTTGTGGTGCTTCTTGCCCTTTGAGTTGGCCATTAGTGCTATAAAGTATTAAGTGGTACTGAAAAAGATATGCCTATCAGTATTTGAAATCATGGCTTATCATTTGGTCCTTGTGTATCTCCCAGGAAAAATCCTGTTTGTATGTAGTACCCCCTTTTTCTCTATAATGTTATAGATACTTTGTCTCAGTTTAAGAACTGTGGTTTTAGCTTTTATGAGGTCATCAGGCATATTGTCTAGTGGTGTGTTCTTGCTAGTGCAGGTGAGCAAGCATCCTCAAAGGCTGGGATAGATTAGAATATAAACACAATAACTGAGCCAATACCCTTAGCCTACTGTATCATTTTCAATTTCCTTCCACTTTTGCCTTGTGATTAAATTCTCTGCAGTGGTCAAACTTCAAGAGAATCCAGTCGATTGGCTAGACCTACACGTCCTGATGATGGGAAACCACTGGGATTGGCTACTCATTAATAGTGTTAATGATCTCATTCTCAGATTACCAGGTAGTTTTTACATTTTAAAAAGGAGTAGTCTGTTTGATTTTGACCTTGAACTCCATCTGCATATATACAGAACTGAGGTGTGGCCTTCATCAAAATATTGTGCTAATGCCCAGGTCAGAAGACAGCATGGCTTGTCTTTCATGATTTAGGATTATGTGGCATGCAAACATAGTAACTCAAACTTGAGTAAAACAAATTTTGCATCCAGTGGCACCTTTAAGACTAACAAAAGTTTATTCAAGGTATGAGCTTTCATGTGCTCATGAAATTGAAATGGAAGTTAATGGTTTATATATATAGGCAGATGCCTCTACATAAGTGAACAGCAAATTAGCATACAATTTAATGAAGATCTTTTGACATGCAAAGACTAAACAGCAATAACAAACTAAGTTCATATGGTCACCATTTGTTTGGATTTAATTGGGGGAAGACAGTGAAGTAATAAATATGTTAAAATAGGAAATAGATGTGTAAAAGTGTCCTTCTAAGAGTAATAAACTGTAACTCTGTTGGTGACCATATGAACTTAGCTTGTTATTGCTGTTTAGTCTTTGCATATGTCAAAACATCTTAATTAAGTTGTATGCTAAATTGCTGTTCATATATATATACGGATGCCTCTACATAGGTGAACTGTTAACTTCTGTTTCAATGTATCTAAGGAAGTGCACGTGCACACAAAAGCACATACCTTGAATAAACTTTTGTTGGTCTTAAAGGTTCCACTGGATTCAAAATTTGTTCTACTGCTTCAGACCAACACAGCTGCCCACATGGATCAAACTTTAGTGTAATTTTTGTGCAACTCAAGCCTGAGCTATTCTA